CTAACACCTTTGCTAATAACTTATGCAAACACCTAATTAAACTTATTGGCCTATAATCCTTAAGCTCCATAGGATTTAACATTTTAGAGTTTAACATTAAAAAAGATGAGTTCAGACCTTTTACTAACCTCCTATTCTAGTGAAACTCTATAAAGAACTCCACAAAATCAGTCTTTAAACTATCCCAAACACACTTGATAAAATTGTAGTTATACCCATCTGGTTTCAAAGCCTTCAACTCGTTGCAATTCTTTAAAGATTCTTCAATTTCCTTTACCGAAAATGGTGTCTCAAGCCATGCTTTATCCTCCTCATAAATCCGTTTAAATCGTATTCCTCCCAACCTTGGTCGTCTCCATGAATCAGCTCAAAATAAGTTACCAAAGTATTGGATAACCTCCTTCTTTACCTTTTTGGCTCCTCAACCCATCTACCGTTGCACAGTATGCCTGTGATGTTATTTTGAGCACGTTTTCCATTATCTATTCTGTGGAAATATGTAGTATTAGCATCACCTAACCGAATCATGTTACTTCTAGATTACTGCTTCCACAATGCCTCCCTCTTCCTCATTATATTCCACATCTCTTAAAACCTTTCCTTTCTATGATTCACATCCCAATCAATTAACTAAAAATTCTCATTCTTTAAGTCCACTTGTTCTACCTGTGCAGCAGCTCATTCAAATTGTGCTTCAACATCCCCAAACACCTCCTTATTCCAACCTTTCAAAATCCCCTTTAAACTTTTCAACTTCTGTTGACATCTATACCCTACATACCCGATCACCTTCATCACATTCCACTTCTCCTCCACCAATTTTGTGAAATCAAGATGTTGTTTCCATGCATGTAACACCCGAAACAATTTCAAACTCCAATTTGCATTTCTCGATTTCATAATAATAGCACAATGGTTTGAAATAGATCTTTTGATACCTTGCTGCTATCATTCACTAGCCATGGTACTCATTTCTATAGTCAATAGAATTCTATCTAACTTGCTCATTGAGGACCCATTCGGTCAATACCTTGTGAATCTTCGATTTGCTACCTATACATCCACCAAGCTTGTAGTTTCAATGAGAGTATCAAACTCTTTCATCTCTAGATTCTCTCCTGTTCTACCTTTCCTTTCTTCTACACGTTGAATTGCATTAAAATCCTTAACAGGCATCCACTGGCCACTCGTCTCAACAATCATATGGCGAAACTCTTCCCACAACTTTAACTTTTTCTAGTTTTATTAGGAATTTACATATTCACAAAGTAACACCTTTCCCTCTCAGGACCCCAATCACCCGAAATACCAATATATCCTTCTCCAGTAAATACTCTCTCCTTAACAAATTTCAATATATCCCATATACAGAATAATCCTTCTGTAGCACCAACTGACTTTTTTCATAACCCACTCAAACCCATCTGAATCCCACAATAACCTACACAAAACATTATCAACTACCTCCAATTCAGTGTCTTGCATGAACAAGAAATTTGGCCTTTCTTCTCTCACCAATTTCCCCACTTCCTTCCTTTTTAGAACTCATCTCAATCCCCTAACATTAAGGGAAACAAGCTTCATAGAAAATAACAATCTCTCAACAATACCCAAACAAACCACCTTTTAAATCCCCTTACAATCTCGCCCTACATCACAAACCCGCTCCTCAACTACCATTAATCGAGATTGTACCTCTTCCTTGTTATCTAATAACTAAATCCCCAACCTTTTCCCCATGCTAATCATCTTCCTTACCTCCTTCAGAGTCATCTGCCGTTGAAGCACTCTGTTTTTATTCACAATACAACCATCTGAGAGGAAGTTGCTTACTGCTCGAATTCCTTCACCGTTTGTAACTTGTTGTGCCTTTGACATTCTTCCCTGTCACTGCTTTGTCCTTGCTTTGATTCACTGTGAATTTGTTGCTGAAATGTCCTCCATCTCCTCCAGATAACAATCCTTAAGATTTCTGCTTTTTTTCGTTGCCATTTCTACGATTTGCTTCCTTTTTTCCAAGATGCTCCCTTTAATCTCAGCCTTATCCAACCCATGTCCACTGTCATATGCTTTTTTCGAACTTGGGCTTTTTGATGCCCTTTCCAACCCATCATAACTATCACTCTTGGGTCCATTAACAAAGTTTACAACACCATCCCCTGCCATTTTGCATATTTTCAAATTTAAATCTGCATCATCCTTACCTCCCACTAATTCCTCATATAATGAATTCAAATCCTCAACCCCCTTTGATTGATTCTCATCAATGCTATCCCTAAATTTGCCAATAATCCCATCATCTTTAATTCCATAATCTTCGTAACAGCCATATTCTGAATGAAATATTGATTCTGTCCTTGTCTCATCCGTCCCTATTTCGCTTTGCTAGTCATCGGTGACCAACCACCAATCTGGATCAATCCTCCATTCTTCCTCACTCACCTTCACATTAACGCATTGTCCATCCACTTTTAAGTTGATACTTTTTTCAATCTTGTTCATATTATAACATAGAACTAAGACTCTACCATCAGCTAAAAAAGATTTCTTTTTTCTTATCATCATGAACTAGCAATACCCTTCCCACTGTACTAGCAATTTCGCAAAAGCATCTCTCACTCCATGCCTTTAAGGGTACACCTTAGACATATAGCCACACCATTCTATTGCTCATTTGCGAAGAGAACTCTCATGGTTGTAACATCTCAAACCAAGAATTAGCAAGATCCTTATTATTCGTCAAAAACTCCTCCAAGTACCCTTTCACCTTTTCCACTAATAGTAGGGGTGGGCATCGATACAGTACCGTACCGTACCGTACCGATTTTAAATTGTACCGATTACATTCGGTTCTTTAGTCTTGTACCGAGTACCAACCCAAATATGTTTAATCGGTACATTATTTGGGAATCGGTACTCGGTATTTATAAAACAGAAACCAAGTACTGACCCAATGTGTACCGACTACAATTAGTCCTATTAAATGATACAATATCGACCTGTGTTATTGT